GAATGGAAGCAGGGACTGTTTTTAAGTCCCGAAATCAGGTAAGAGTCCCCCCTCACACACAACACTTCTCACCATCCCCTCCTTGTATCTCCTATTCCCCCTTCCCTTGTTCATTGCTACCACTCATTCCCCCCAAACAACAAAATAAAACCCACAATGTGGGAAAGTTTAGGTCTAGAAAAAAAAAAGCCGTGACCGACACCTTCCTCCCCACCCGCAACCCCAGTTGTAAAAGAATGCAACTGAGATTCTAAGCTATGACATTTATAACAGTTTGTATAGGGATAACAGCAATATGCATGGTGTAGGCTAGAGGCACAATTTAACAAGTATCAGATTTATTAGATTAACAAAGCAATTGTCCGAATAGCAGAACCAAGACCATTGTGAATTTGTTTTCTCTTATTACACAGGGCAGGTGTCCTTCACTTGATCACCTGCTTACTACTGTGGTTTGTACCTGGTGGTAAGTATATCATAACCTGCATTACTGAGTTTTTGTATATGTACCCACAAAGTGCAGATTAACGTATTTTTAGTTCTCAGAGCATAGTTAATGTTAAAGGTTCTGAATGTACATTTCATAGTCCAACCAAGTGCAGGGGATCTGGACCCGATGATCTGTAAGGTCCCTTCCAGCCCCTAACATCTATGAAACCATTCTTAACTGCACTCCATAGAATCAGCTCTTTAATGAGGAAACAGATCTAAGAGAAGATCTGGGAAAAGACAGGAGCGTGCGGCACTTCAAAGATTAATTGATTAGGTGCCACCCTACCCTGCCTTCAGACTAACATAGCTAACTACCTCTCTGATTATTTCAAGTGTTCACCGTATCAAGTTATTGGACTCAGTAGAGGAAATAACAATGAAATATGAGTGCCTGATCCAAAGGTCCCTGGCACTTCATAATTTATGACCCTATATAAATGCAGTGCATCATACTATTACAGGATTGAATTATTGGTAAGAGCTAGGTGTCTGTTTGGAAGGCCTAACCCCAAACATGAAGAATTTAAACTTAAAAAAAAATTATCATCTGAAAGGTAATTGGCATATGAAGTAACTTTTCTGTTTGGAACAATTATAAAAATGCTTGCCCCATTATTTTCCAAAGGCTTTGCAATGGGTCAGGGGAGGATTTCCTCATACAGGTTTGATCTGTGTCACCATGCTAAAAACACAATTCTAATTTTGAATGCACCTTGTCAGTCCCCATGTTGTGAGGTGAGAGTGTTTCTTTTGCCAAATAGATAACACCTTGATTGATGCATGGGTCATGGCAACCCACCATTAAGACACTGGAAAGTTTAATAAAACTTCTGATTCACTTTTCCTTTGAAGAAGTTTGAGTTCAGTTCTTCTGAACGAGGTGCTGAGCCTGCAGATATTCAGATCTGTCACACGTCCCATGTTACATTTAAGAGTAGCATATGGGCTTTTAGGGAACTGAGATATTACTAACCCTCTACATGACGCAACTTAAACAACCAAAGAGACAAGGAAGAAGTGCACTATGTACTACTTTTAGCACTGAAATGGATTGCTGTTTTGTCCTTTTCTGCAGGCGTATTTTTTCTGCTCCACTAACCTCATGAACTGTTAGACACATTGCATCGCAGCCTATTACATCCAAAAGGAGCATTCAACATTGCTTATTTCTAAAACCTTTCCTTTCCCCGCCTCCCATGCTTATAATCATTTGCTTCCCCATTTTCTACTGGATTTTAAGCTTCTCAAAGAGTACAAACTATCATGATATGCATCTAAACAAACAGATACTATTTTTCTTAGTCAAGATTATTCGTCACATCTTCTGAAGTGAGTCTTTTAAAGTCTGGTTTTACCATCCTTCACACTGACCAATATCCAAAATATTCCGAAGCATCAGTAGCAACGAAGCTCTTAAGTTCTTACTGTAAGAACTGCAGGGGCCCAAAAATAATTACAAGATGCCCAAACAGTCAGACCAGCCTCCTCTGATGAAAGGTAGAACAGCTGTTTAGTATAAGGGACACAAGCTTTTAATTCTGTTGCAGTCAAATGCCCAGTGGGGGTGGGGTAGAGGGTCGGTTAAGTTATTTGCTTGGTACACAAGAGCAATTCACTGAAAAAATAGATGCTGCAGCTAAGCTACACAAATAGGTACCTAACAAGAAAGGTCCTGCAAGAACATACAAATTGCCAGTTTGAGAGATTTTGATGGAATACGTAAAAGTTGCTTTGTATTGACACACAATAGTGAACCAGAGGACATTAATGCAGTACTGTAATGCTTATGACAGAAGAGGAATCCCAGAGGATTATGCATCAGAATACATTAATAAAAGCATAACAAACTCATCTTCAACTTGACCCATTAAAGGTCGCACTAGTGTTAACAACAACAACTCTTTTTTAAAGAAGTAAGGATTCTTATCTGGAAGAACTGCTGAATCCAAGTGTAAACACTATATCTCTACATCTACTGTTTCCAGGGTTGCAAGTGGTATACAATGTTTTTTGCATGTAGAGCAAAGAGGACAAGATGGAAAGGCTGGGGATGAGAGAAAACTGTAGTCTAATAGGACACTACTCACCCCACCTCAGAGCCTCCAGCACTTTGCTACTGTCTGTTTCAGAATTCAGTGCAGAAGCACCATCTCTTGGCTATGAACTTCTCCAGTTTTATTCCTTCCATGGGAGGAAAGACCCAGAATAAGAGGGGAAAAAAACAAGGAACTCAAAATAGGATCATTTGGAAAGTCTCTGGCAGGGTACCACTCTTTTACACAGACCCAATCTTTATCTAAGCAACTTTCAGGCAGTCTCTGAAGATGTAGCCATCCTCTTGAAGGAGACTTGCCCATCAGCAAAATAGCCAAGATTCCTGGCTACAGTGAAGCTTTTCCTAGAGGAAAGCAAAAGCTAAACCCTTATCTTCCTGGTCAACACCCAGCTGAGCAAGTGCCTCTCTCCTTTTAACTCCTTCTCTGACACCAACTGCAGATGCAGCAGGGCGAAAGTGACTGGACCCCCTGCCTCCCATCATCCCTGTCCTAGCTAGTAAAGGGCTTGCACACTTGATGACAGGGGGAACAGCAGTCAGGAAAGGTTCAAGTTTGACTGACCTTTGCATTCATTTCTCATAACAAACATACCCGTGAAAATTGTAATATATTAACAAATCTGGAAGACAAGGTTTAAAAAATTAATAGGATCAGGAATCAGACTGGGCACTTCCCCCTTTCATTTGTTAAACCCACTTACCATGGTTTGTCTCAGCTTTGGACTGCATTTGCATTTGGGTGTGGAGACTCTCTTTTCTATAGTCTCTGCTTGAGTCCATCACCCTTAGAGAGCACCATATAGAAAGCACAGGGTTTCACTTGCTCACACTCCTTCAGATATCCCCATGGCAGAGGGCACATCCCTAAATACATAGACCTGCTAAAATCCCAGCCTTCTGGGGTTTCCATAGGTCCTATGAATAAATGTAACAAACAAAAACAGAGTGAACTATTCTGGACTCCCCCTTTCTACTTTGGGTCCTTTGGTTTATCACAGCCCTGCCTCAGAGAGACCCTAGCAAGAAGCAGTTCTCAAATGATCCAATACTTCCTAACTTCAGTTCTCTCGCTGTTGCATGCGTGTCCTCAGCCTAACACACCCTCTCCACCTGTACCAGGTGAGGTTAATGAAATTCCCAGGCGTTCATCAGTTCCTCTTCAGCCCCCAGTTAATCCCTTTGTGGTCAATGAAGAGCGGGGATCCTGGTTTTCTCTTCTCATTTAAAAAAATCCCCAATTTTCAGATTAAAGTAACCCAAAATCGACCTTTTTCCATGATTAAAATGAAATGCCACTAATATATATATTGGTGGCATTTCATTTTAATCACAGAAAAATGTGGATTTGGGGTAACTTTTTTTAATCTGAAAAATGGGGAATTTTTCTAATCAGAGAAAACCAGGATCCCTGATGAAGAGAAATACAGACCATCTTACTGGGTTTATGCAAGCTGTCTAGCCCTGATCATTACTTGGGGCTAAGCATGACTGTAATTAAAATGCCAGTGAGTAAGACAGCCGCCTGCTTTCTACAGCACCAGAGTCCATGTCAATCCTTACACAGACTGTTTCACAGAGAAGGTTTAACCTCTAACCAAAAGAGCTTCATTATCTTTAAACATGCAGGCTGTCTACAACAACAGCCTCTTCTTGCACTGGAAGACAGACTGTAGAAGGTTGTATATGTAAGTGATGAGGCCCCAATTCAGAAGTCTGTCCATCTTCAGCAAAATACTTGAGCACATACTTATTTTAGGTAGATACTTGACTTCAGTCAGGCTAAGGCACATACTGAAATTAAGCACAGTGCTTGAATGCTTTGCTGAATAAAGCCAGATGTAAATCCCTACAGGCATTTTTTGCTCAATCAGAACTTGAGCCTTTTTTTTCTCCTAAGGACAATCATGTCAAGAACACAGTATCTCTGCATAGCTGCATTATAGCAGGTGCACGGATAGTGGTAGTAGGAGTGCTATATGTCAGCACTGCCAAAAACATGGATTCCTGAGGGAACCAGCCTATTTGAGAATTCAGGGGGTAGTTTCTACCTACTCATGCCCGAAAGGGGAAATTTCACGAGTGTTGTAACTTGGCCATTTTCAAAATTAAACTTCTACTTTTTGTTTCAACGTGTATATTTTATTTCATGAAAAGTAGTATTTTCCCTATATAATAATAGACTTTTTTTTTAAGTTGAACGAAAGGGTTAAATTACCTGAAAAAAAAACAGAATATTTTGTCATGGATCTAATGAAATATTTTGGGGCAACCCAAGATGAGATTTGTTTTTTGTTTCACCAGCCCATCAAAAATACTTTGTTTTGGCTTAACCTGAACCAAATTCCTCTCCCCCACTATTTGTTGGTTCAGCCTCATTGCAGAAATACTGTTTAAGGAAAGATTCAATGACTTTGACACCTGCATGCTTCTAAGGATGTGTATGTATTCTTACCTTAGTATTTCCTGACTGTTACTAAGAAAATGAATGTATGCCTTAAAACCACAAATAGTCATGCACACATTTTTTCCCATATGGAGAAGAGGGCAAAATATTCCATCTAAAACAGCAACTTGAGATGAAATTGTTTTTTTCTGAAAAGAAAAATGCAAATATTGAAGGCTTCATACCATCAAATGAAACGATGATGAGGTATGGCTATGAACAGAGAGCACTGTTTCAGATTATGGATCTCAACAAGAAAAAACTAAGGATTTGTCTATATCTGAAAGTGAATTCAGGGATTCAGAACATGACTAGTTGTTCCTGAATAACTGTGTAAACAAATCCCCAGCAGTAATAATTTCAAAAATAGCTATCTCACAGTATAGATGCAGAAGCCTTTGTAGGTACCTAGGATGTAGCATAATTTTTTAAAGGCTGGTCACCTAGTTAGCTCTACTGACCTGTTTTTTTCTATTACTGATTCTCAAATGTGTTCATATCACTTCCAGTTAAATAGCTGCAATGAACTCCAGTAGTGAGCAGACCGACAGATATTTATCAGGATAGTTAGCCCTTCCAGGGGCCATCATTTGCCATAATCCCATTCAAACTGTAGGCCAGGCCCATGGAAAACAGGAAACTCAATCCCCTGTATCAAAAAGGAAGTGCAATAGCTATCTTTACCTTTTGTTAAAATTCGTACTATATCATAGAAAATAAGCCTGATGACAGATATTTTCCAAATTTAGTAGCTAATAAAATTTATCAAGGATAATTCCATTAAAAAGTATGAGGCACCCAGGTGCTGCAATTAGTAGGAGACATAAAAATACCTCAGATAAACTTAGAAGGTACAGTAGATTCCTCTTATTGGGATCACTTTGGGACATGGTGACTTGATTCTATTAACCAGCAGATTCCATTAAAAGGAGACCCGTTTTTTTAAGACGACAGATACTCACTCCTCCTCCACAGTCCCCTGGCCTTCCTCAGGCCTCTCACAACCCCCCCCACCTCCCAGTCCCCACAGCCCTGCTGGTGCCCCTTGCCCCCACCCACAGCCCCCTGGCCCACCAGCCCTGCCGGAGGGGGGCCCAGGCTGCCAGGGATATGGGGCCAGGGGCCCAGCTCCACAGCCCCCTTCCCCTGGCAGGAGGCGACGGCTGCTGCACTGGAGCAGAGCCCAGCTCCCCACCTGCTGCTGCTCGCTGTGGGCTCGGGTCAGGGGGGTGGAGCCAGCTCCCCAGTGAGGCGCACACTCCTGGAGAGGCAGGGGGGGATCCATGCCCCTCAAATCTGTGCGTGGGGTGGGGGTGAGCATGGGCAGAGACAGCAGTGATGTGGGATTGCAATCCTCAAAGCTACTGTGTACACAGGGGGTGCATTGCCAGGGAGCCTGGCACCCATCCCACTTCCTGCTGGGGTCCCAGTCCTGCCCAACTCCATCCCTCCCTCCCTACAGGGGCTCAATTCCCTGCCCCTTCCACCCCACCACACTTACCTATGGGAGCTGCTCTCCAGGCTGCCTTGGGCCATGTGCTTATAAAGTACATGCCCATGGTGCCCCCTGCTTGACTGCCCTGCTTCTGCTCCCACCCAGCCCCCTGCAGGCTGGAACTCTGCCAGCCTACAGAGGGCTCCTCACAAAGCTGCAAAATCCCCAGGCTTCTCCGGTAAAATGATCCTAAAACCCCAAAATTGTGATTCTAATATGAGTGATTTTTACATGTAATAATATACAACTGGTTTTGGTTTTCCCATGTTGATTCAAATAAGCAGCTGATTCTATTAACCAATGATTCTATAAAGTGGAATCCACTGTATCTACTACTGTTGGCAGATAGCTTCTGTTTTCAAGGTGTCAGAAGTTGGTACGCTACCATTACAGTCAATGATAAATTTAAAGCAAAAATTCTGAGCGGTAAGAAATAGAAAGTTCAGGTGCTCAAAAGTTCTCAGGATTTTTCTCTTGACACTATCAACTTTTTTCACACTCAGCATTTTTCTTATTACAGTGGTTCCTCAACCAACTTTGTGCCAAGCAATCAATGGAGACACTGCTATTCTGCCTTGTGCCAATCAGACATCTGAAAAACTGAACATGAAGAAGTATTCAATATACTGGCAGGTTGAGTCATCGGTAGTGCATTTTTTTCATAATGGGGCAGAATCACTGAACAATCAGCTTAAAAGATATCAGAACAGAACCAGGCTCTTTCTGGATCAGCTGGAACATGGTAACTTTTCTCTAATACTCTCTCAAGTTCAGCATGGTGATGAAGCTGTGTATTTCTGCATCTACAGAAATGGAGAGACCAGAGCAATAGGGAAGCATGCAGTTAGACTGAATGTCTCAGGTAAGACTATTAAGAGTTGAACTTAAAGGGAGGGAGCGAAGAGGGATGATTCTCCACTGAGCTTATTGTAATGATGGAATTGCATGTTGCTGGTGCTAGGGATGATTACAGTTTTTCAAATTTAAGTTCCTCCAAGTTTTAATCTCTCCAGTCTGTGATTTGATTGGAAGAATGAGATATGGGATGAGGAAGGAAGGATGGAGAACCTTTGGGAAGCTTCAGGGTTGCACATCTGCATAGCATCCAATGGTCCGAAGAAGGATCCCACCCACTTTCCCCTCTTTAATGACACTGACAAGAAAACATGCCTTAAACTTTTTCCAGAATTTGGACATTGATATTTACAAATGCTACTGAGTACACCCTTTCCTTTTGCCACTGGAAGGCATGGGGAATGACAGTCAATGAAGCAAGATTAGCTTGACCTGCATGGGCCACAGACAAAGCCCAGTGGAGTTGATGAAAAGACTCACTGATTTATTTATGAGTGCAGAAAAAGGGTCTGTATTCTTTCAGATTAATTATTAATTAACTTTGCACCTGTGACTTTATCAGAGTTGCTGAAAAGTAAAGAGAAAATCCATTGTACAGAAAAGGAGGCAGCAAAGTCAGTCTATCTCAATAGCTCATGGGACACAGACTTAATTAAGTATGCAATAAAGATCTTTTCTTCTGTATGAAAATAAGTGAGGTTGTGACAAATACTTGAATAACGCTGACTACTTATACTGCATAAAGATTTTAGTTCTCTAGGAGCAGAGCTGGGAAAGATAATATTTTCTGGTAGTTGAATACAAAAATAGTGGGGGTGTAGGAGCTAACATTGGGAAAAACAAAATACAGTTGCTTCAGTGTTTTATATAACACGATACCTAGAATTTTTTCTTCAAAAGATTATATAAACCATCCTAAAACTTGTTTTTAATTAGGTCCATTTTTCAAGGGAAAATGATGTTTTGAATTAAAAAATCTAAGTGTAATTTGGAAAGCCGCAAAATAAAACATTTTGCAATTTCCACAGTGAACCATTTTGTTTGTTGAAATGTAAAAATGAAATATGTTGAATTTTAAAATTATTTTTATCCCATATCTTTGGCCAAACCTATTAATCAAAGTTGACCTTATTTTGTAAGCTGTTTTGCGCTGTCCAAAAAAAGTATGTTTATTGGCAAATATACAGTTTATCAAAAAAATCTTCCCAGCTCTACCTAGGAAACATGTTTCTTCATCTTGCTTACATATACATGACTAACTTGAATGTTGTTCTCTTTCAAATTCAAGATATCCAGCCAATAAAAGGAAATTCTCTTTACCTTGGTAAGTTATACACTACTGAAAAAGCCATTGGGTACACTAGGGTTCCCTTCACCCCTTATTTGTATGACTCGTTGTGAGCCCTTCTAAGCAAGGGAAGGCCCAATAAAGATTCAGTTTTGTCTGTCATTGGCAATACTCTGTACTGATCCCAACAAAATGCAGTTAGGAAGTACATGGGTTCAGCATGGAAAAAAATCCTATTTGTCTCCTAGATGAGAACACATCTACCACTAGAATAGTCCAAACTCATAATAAAAAGAATCACAGTGCCAGCAGCCACTAGCCCTTACTTCTTTTTTGTTGTTGTTGCTAATATGGCATACGTGCGTACACATATGTTCAAGTGAATGGGCAGCCACTGGGGTTTTACAACGGACAAAAGAACTTCTCCATAAATACCCTTAGTTTGGATGAACTGTTAAATCAAAAGGTTTGGAAAGGCACTTGGGTAATATATTAATAGATGCTCTAATAATACTTAGGGCAGATAGCTTCATGTAAGTCCTTGCAAGAAAAACTGAAATGGTTTTCATTTTTTCCTGGTACAGTTCTGTAGTACAATGCAGCTCCTAAATTCTAAACTTATTTACCTTATATAATTGGCTGTACTAGGGTCCTTTATAGAAACTTCTTGATCATGTGAATTATGACCTCTGATTCTGAGTTATGCAGATACATTAGTTTTATAACAAGAAAATTAAATGCTTTGACCCTTGCACGTTTGTCTCCAAGTACTTCCAGAACATCAAAGACAAGACAGGGTGCTGAGTTTCTAGCATAGGAGAGCTAGTGGAGAGTAACTGTACCCTATATTCTTACACCCCCCTCCCCCAAATAGCATGCACCTTCTTTTTTTAAAGGCAGAAAGAGGAAAAAAAAAAAATTTTGTAAGTTATGGCTGCACAAAGCAGGGACAGGGCCTAATCTTTAACTGACTCACTTTCCCTTTCCTCCTTAACTAAAGCTGAAGCCTTAGCTGCTGCTGAAGATTAGTCTCCATGGGTAGATCTAAGATTTTAAAAAGAGATAAATAGTCTCCAGGGCTGTGAAATAGGAGGAGAGGCCATGAGCAGCTAGCAGGCAGCAAAACTGCCTTAAAAAGGTTAACTTAATTAGAGGACTATCAAGACTATTCAAAAGAGAGATGATTGTTAATCATTAACACCTCTGGAGTGAAAAGCAATGAAACATTAAGCCAACTGATTTCCTCAGTTGCCTGGGTAGTAATACACAGCTGCTGCACTGTGGAGCAGGAATCAAAGCAGGGTGCTTCTATCCTGGGCAGAAAACTAGCTTCCCTGTTTAATACACATACTCTAATTTGGAGGTGCTGATTTGGGTAGAAAATGCATATTGCATGTTAGGAAATACGGTACGTTAAGCAAATGTCCTCCAGTTCTGAGATGTCTTCCTCAGTAAATTCTCTCCTTCCCATCCTAATTATGGCCTAAAGAAGGAGTGGCAAACTTGCAGCTTGCGCAACCAGTGTGTGTGCCATGCAACAGATAAGGAAGGGGACAGACACAGCAGATAAGGCAAGAAGCAGAAAGAGCAAGAGATCATACAGGAGGTGCAGGGCATGAAGCAGAAAGCATAGCAACAGATTGGGAAGGGAGTTCAGAGCATGAACCAGAAGAGAGAACAGGATGGCAGGCAGAAGAAAGGGAAAAGGATTAGTGTGGCACTTGGGGAGGGTATGTAACTAATTTATGCCACATCTGCCAAAAGGGTAGGCCCCCACTGGCCTGAAGTATTGATGTTAGCTTTCCAGATTCCTAATTTGCTTCATAAAACTATTACCTTTTGTGAGGCATCCTTACTGATTTATTTTAGATCAACAACATAGTCAATTCTGGAATCAGTAGCCCTGAACTGGTACAGCTGACAAAGCATGCACACACACCATGACATCAGTGTCAGGCCACAGAAAAAGAGAGAACACCAAAATCTTAAACAAACGCAAAAAATACATTGTTTTTTGGTCTCATTAGAAGTAGCAGCTCTCAGCTTAGTAGGTCACTTGCAATAAGCATCTTTAAAATTGCAGGAAATGGCCCTCTCAAAATTTAAAAATCAGCAAAAACTACAAAATGCAAAGGTGCTCCTGACCCAACAGCCTCTCAGAGGACAATGGGGTAATTTCAAAGTGCTGATCTTCATCTTTAATGTTGCTCCTGACATTTGATTAAGATACAAAGTTACGAGACCAAAAAAATAAATAAATAAGCAGCTAAGCCAACAAAACCTCTCTTGCCAGTTACATTCCACATGAATGATGACGAGTCCCCCAGGGGTCAAATTCATTTAACGGGAAGGGAAGATTTCTTGGCAACAGCAAAACTAAGATACAGAAACAAGGGAGGAAGAAGAGTAGAAGTTCATGCTCATATTGCTTTATTTAAAAGGAGAAATATGTAATAGAGCTGGTCAAAAAAAGTCCTGACAATTTCTCCTCCTCCTCCAAAACAGAAGGATTTTTTTTTCAGATAGATTTTTTTTGTGAGAAAATGTTGGTATTTTGTAACAAAGTCTCTAAATAAATAAATAAATAAATAAAGCTTATCAATTGTCTCCAATCAATGGTACATGGTATCAAGTTTTATGGCAGAAGCCTGAAATGTCAAAAGGAAGTTGAGACAATAAAAATAAAATTCCTGAAAAATGTTGATGAGTGCAGAAAAAAGTTCATTCACTGGCTTCAATTTTTATATTTCCATCAGTCACAATTAGCCCTATTTGCTGAAGCCTGTCTGGCATTCGTACTCTTTCTGGGAACCACCTAGTATAGTGAGATGCCTGATAAGAACCACAGAGGCACCCTGTGTGTTCATATGCCTGTACTTTTACTTTAGTTACCAAAAGAATTCAGGCAGCTATTCACTGTTTCATGTGGGGGGAGAGGCCATAATCAAATCAAAACAAACACATACCTCCCCCGCTCCAAAACATCCTTTTGTTTTTCTTTTGTCATTTTTTTAAACTTTCCAAGATCCTCTTCTATTCCTAGGATGGTTGTATTGCCACTTTTGGGCTCAGAGGAGAGCCTTTCTAGTCTAATAGCAACTTGCTTTAAGCTCCGGTCTGGATAGAAAACTCATTACAATCTTATACCTACACACTAAAAATATATTGAGGATGAGCAGAAATTAAAGAGTTGTACACAGTATGTTTGTACATAATATGTCTTCTGGGAAGGGGATGGGGAAAAAGAACAAACTGTATCTGACAGTTGTAAGTCATGTTACTTAACACACTATTTTGAGGTCCTTTGATACTATAGCCACAAGATCAGCATATAAATCTATATAGAACACAACCTGGTCTTTACAGAGAAGGTCTATGACCTAAGTAGGATAGGGTAAATGCCTTTATCCTCTGGAATTTATTTTTAAAATGTGCTTTTTGAGGACTGTAAATAGAAGTACTTGATCTGGGACCCTAAGCAGAGAGAGGCCATTTGTGCATTTTATATTTTTTTGTTTTAGTTAATGTTAGCCCATTAAGGTATAAACAAATATTACTGGTGTGGAAGTGGAGAACACTTTACTGTATATTAAAAAAATCCAAAGCATAAAGAAATTACCACAACAAATGTGCTTTATACATTTATATATGTTGTCTTGTACATCAGTCTTATGGAGGGGAAAAAAGATTCTGCTGGAGTCCTATATGCTGTATCTGTACTGATGAACTCCAAAAGCTGTATGGAATTTTTCAAATGAGTTAAAATGCAGATGAGCATGCAAACTTTAAAAAAAACCTCCCTTCATAAAATATAGCTTTTTCAAATTTACAGTGATTTTTACTATCAAGTACTTATTTTTTAGAGCTGTTGTTAAACACCCGTTTGTATTTTGGGAGGGAAACTATCCCTACTATTCAAGAATGACTAGCTTGGTCCAGAATAACTGAATCCAGAACTACTACAATATACTTCCAGTACCTAGGCAGGAAAGGAGCAGGCTGTTGACCTTATTTGTATTTCTGCATCTGACACAAATCTGAACTAAAAAAGTGGCAAACATCTTAAGTCCTAGGAAGTCTTTAAGTAGGGAATTATTGACTACTGATTGTACACACACTTTTTTTTTTTGCTCTTAGGTCAACCTTCTCATCATCGTAATTGCAGCAGCAATGCAAAGGACTCAGATATGTTTGTTTTTTCTCTTCACCTCCTGGTGGTAATAGTGGCTTGGATTTTACAACTGTGAATACAAACTTTCATCTTCAACATTCTCCCAGAGAGTGACTTCAAACTGAACCCTTCTGTGTGGTTGACTATCACTGTTCCAGAAGCCACAAATGAGGCATTGATACTTGAGAAAAAGGTCAGACTTTAGGCACCTGCATCCATATTTTGGTGCTCAAACAAGAGGCCTGAATCTTCAGAGACAGCAAGCATCAGAGATTATGAGCATGGCTTTTCTTTCACCCATATTTGGGAGCCTAACTTTAGCCATCTGCATGTGAAAAAATTGGTAATGGTATTTCTCTTGTGCTTTTGTTGTAAATACTATTTCAAATTACTGAGTCTTACAATACTGTCACATTATAAATTTTTTCCTTACTGTGGTTATTTTGCATAAGATTCCATATGTTTTGCAAAGAGAGAAATGAAAGAGAAAAGGTAGCTGCTCTGCATGTCAGATAAAAAAGTGGAAATAGCAGAGTTGGTTGTGAAAATCAAGAGTGGAAACACTGTCAAAGGAAATTTTGAGGCTGTATAATTGTCGCTCATATTTCTACTCTTTTATGTGTCTAGGTTATCTATGATCCCTCCTTCTCCTTCAAAAAGAAATACTCTATTCACTCAATAGGAAGAGAAGTGATGGTGGAAGGCAATGAAACATTTAAAGCATGTAAGTGCAGAGGCAGAGAATCCCACCAACAGATCCACCAGACTTTAAGAGATGTAATCTGGCATTTTCACCCCCTCTTCCTCATAGAACATAAGTTAAATACAACCAGTTGACAAAAGTCTGAAGTTCTACTTGGTCTGGACACAAGCAATCCCATGACTATCAACACCTGGTTACTAATTCATATAGGATATATTTAAACAAACAAAACAGGAATACAGAATGATTTAAGTGTCTGTGGTTTAGGAATGATAATTGTTGTCTGAATTGCACTCGTCTGTTCTTTGGAATGCTCCGTGCAGGAAACTAAAGAGGATATCTCTCCATGTTTAAGGTCGAAATTAACTTCCTATTGATTAACTTCCTATCTGGAGCTGGACTGTTCTCAATGGTGGCAGATGACAGAACAAAGAGCAATGGTCTCAAGTTGCAGCAAGGGAAGTTTAGGTTAGATATTAGGAAGAACTTTCTCAAGAGAAGGGTAGTAAAGCACTGGTACAGGCTACCTGAAGAGATTGTGGACTCTCCATCCTTGGAGGTTTCTAAGACCCAGCTAGACAAAGCCTTGGCTGGGATGATGTAGGTGGGGATGATCCTGCTTTGAGCAGGGGGTTGGACTAGATGACCCCAAAGATCCCTTCCAATCCTAATTTTCCCTGATTCTATAATATCAATAAAAATACATAACCTGTAGGACAGCCTGCTACCATCATGACTGCAGTGCTGGATAATTTCTCACCAAGGTTGGAGTAATGTCAGAGCATCTCAGAGGGAAGGAAAAGTAGCTCACAAGACTGTACTGTGAGTAGCTTAGTTTTGGATGAAGTCATTCTACACTCCTTTACAAACAAGACACAGCTGTACTTGCTGGAAAGGAAGAAAAGGAAACAAGAGACCTGCTGCTCCTTCCTGCAGTCTTTGAAATGAATGAGATCTTCAGTGGACAGAGACAGATACCCTAGTGTAGGGAAAAAGCTCATGAAAATCTCTGCACCTGAGTCACTGCTGGAGTCAAACCGAGCCAGTATGTACATAGACTGAAATGATAGAGGAGTAGTTGGGTATAGAGGCTATGTATCCATTTAACAGAAAGATTCATTTTAAAATATGTACCTATTTGGAAAGTCTTCCATTGTCTTATCTTCCACATGTTGTTTGTTGTCATAAAGCATAAGCTCTTCAAAAAAAAATTAGCCTACTACTAGAAGGTAAATAATAAATAATGCAGTCACATGCCATACCAGCTCTTCTCTGGCAATCTCATCAGTTTCTGTAGAACTTAAGACCTGTTAAAAAACACCACCTACCTCTTCTGGGTGCAAACATAACCTTCAAAAGTGGAACCACTTCAGGACAGTCTTCCTGTGTCTGCTAGCATACAAACCACAACTCAGAGGTGTGGGCTGCTGGCTTTCACCTCAACAATCACATGCCATGTGGCAATAACTTAAAGGTCAACCTCTTTAAAAAAACATTCAGTGCAAGAACATAAAATGTGACACTCCCACAACTGCAGATGCAATTAGTATCATTTTGTACTTGTATGGGTTGCTTGGGCAAGCAAATGGACAGACACCTAAACAGTGGTTTGCCTGTATAATCTACCATGCAATCACAACAGCCTGAGCAAAGTGTAGACAATACAAAGCTGCAAGAGCTTTTGAAGCTAAGGGGAGCCCTTCCCTTTTCTTTCTTAAAATTATCCCAAAGCATTGGCATTGCTAATTACTTATCTTCTGATAATAGACTGTCAATGTCTTCTGGCTCCACAGGCCGCAATTTTGGGATGCTACAGTACCATTCCTAGTTTTTCTTCAACACTATGTTGTAGCCAGGGTTTGAATTACACTTTGACTCTTGTGGTGGTGGGGGGGGGGCCAAAAAAAAACCTGCCCATCACAATGCCCTAATAAAATCGGAGACCCCTCCCAGGTTATGATTTTCAAATCTTACTGGGGGGCTCTCATCTCTTATGGTGGGGGGGGGCTCAGCCTGCCCCCACCCAGTCCCCCATAATTCAAACCTGTTGTAGCCTGTCTCTGGAC